CCTTTTATAGTTCCTCAGTCATTGCCAGGGCAACTATCAACTATCTTAGCACTAGAGAGTTTTTTACTCAGGGTGCAGATGGCAGTTGTCAACACAAAAACACAACTCTCACCTCAAAGGGGAAAAGAGATCACTTATTCTGGAGCCAAATATGAGTGACCATAGCCCAGGAACAGAGATCCAGGTTACCCCAAATTCCATGCTCCAATGTAGTAACATTTACATGAAGTTGTTGTTTTTGTTTGTTTGTTTTTAATGATGGAAATAGAGAAAACTTTATTAAGAAAGAGAAAGGCACTTGGGGACTGGGGAGCTAGGTCAGTGATTAAAGCGCTTGTCTTACAAAGACTGAATCCCATGAAGTTTTATAGTAACTGAATAAAGAAAGCTGCTAATCAAGGCACCTTTCAAACACATTGGTGGAAACATTAAGTAGGAAGATACAGCAAAAGAGAAATCTCAGCTCTAGGCCTCAGATATTATCTGATGGCACGCAACCTTTTGGGTGGTGGAAGTTGCAACATTCCAAACTCTCCATGATTCCTGAAGTTCTAATCAGTTGATCAGCCTTTGTAGTAGAAGGTTCAGTATATATATACATTTTATGTGTATGAGTGTATGTATTGCCTGCATGTATGTCATGCAATGCCTTCGGAGGTCAGAAGGTGTCAGATCCCCTGGAACTGGAGTTATAGCCATTTGTTTGCCACCATGTGGGTGCTGGGAATCAAACCCAGATCATCCATAAGAGCAGTCAGTACTCTTAACCTCTGAGCCATCTCTCCAGCCCTGAAGGTTCCATTTTATATTTATTTATTTATTTATTTATTTATTTATTTATTTAGCACCAGTTGGCCTGGAATTCACTATGTAGACCAGGCTGGCCTTGAACTCACAGAGAGCCACCTGCCTCTGCCTCTGAGTACTGGGATTAAAGGCTTGGGCTACCACGCCCAGCAGAGGTTCTGTTTTTTGTTTTGTTTTGTCTTTTTGAGACAGGGTCTCCCTGTAGCCCCAGCTGACCTGGAACTCACTATGTAGACCAAGTTGGACTTGAATTCACAAAGATCCGCCTGCCTCTGCCTCCCAAGTACTAGGACTAAAGGCATGTGCCACCATGCCTGGTGCATTTTTAAGTTTTAAGATGCAATTCTTCTGAGAACTTTCATTCACACAGTATGAGGTTGAGGGTTGTCTGGCAGCCAATCTTATATCCAACCAGTTTCTACTAATCACCTAAAGAGGAACTTCTGGCCTATAAGACACACTATACTCAAAGATAAAAAGGATGGAGTAGAAATTCAGTGAGGTCACCAAGGTAGTACTCCTCATAACTAGCTCTATAGGACTGCCCCAGACAATGTGTGGCCCTCCCTTTTTTTGAATTTTATTTATTTCAATTTTATGTGTTTGAGTGTTTTGCTTGCATATATGTAAATGTACCTGTGTCATGCAATGCCTGTGGAGGACAGGAGGCATTGAATTTCCTGGAACTGGGCCAGCGATAGAACAAGTGCTTAACATGGAGGTTTGATGAACACACACACTACTTCTAAGGTAATGACATGAAACAATAGGAAACTAAACTCACACCTGTTTAAGCTCAGCATTTGAAAGGCTGAGGCAAAAGGGTTACAGGGAGTTTGAGGCCAACCTTGGCTAGAGTGAGACTTTGTCTCAAAATAAAATCTGGTTCAGATTCCCCACATAAAAGCTGGGTACAGTGGTACACATCTGAACCCTGGCACTTGTGTAGGAGGGGAGCAGAGATAGGTAGATCCCTGGAGTCCATTGGCCAGTCAGTCTTGCCAAATCAGTGAGTTCCAGGTTCAACTAGAGACCCTGTTTTAAAAAATAAGGTGGAACTGGGCATGGTGGTACAAGCCTTTAATCCCAGCACCTGGGAGGCAGAGGTAGGTGGATCTCTGTGAGTTCAAGGCCAGCTTGGTCTACATAGTGAGTTCCAGGACAGCTGGGGCTACAGGGAGACCCTGTCTTGAAAAGACCAAAAATAAGTTAATTAATTAAAAAATAATAATAATAAGGTGGAAGCTGAGCATGGTGGCAGAGGCAAGAGGTTATCTGAGTTCTAGGCCAGCCTGATCTATATAGTGAGTTCCAGGCCAGCCAGGGCTACATAGTGAGACCCTGTCTCAATAAGTACATAAAGTGGAGAGCTTTGGAGGAAGACACCTGATCTTGATCCCTGACCTCCACATGCACCCCCCCCAACACACAGCACAACACATAAATAAATCTTTAAAAATTTTTAACAAGAAGTATAATATATTGGAGGAGCTTGAGAATTTAGAGCATTTTAAAATTTAATTTTTAAAAATTTGACAGGGTCGAACTGTGACTTGGAACTCCTGGTTGGCCTGGAATTTTCTGTATAGACCAGGCTGACCCAAAACTCAGAGATCAACCAGCTTCTGCTTCCCAGGTGTTGGGCTTAAAGGTGTGTATCACATCAGGTTGTGTGTATGTGTGTGTGCGCGCGCGCGCGCGTCCATGTGTGTGTGTGCGCGCGCGCGCGTGTGTGTACGCGTATGCGCGTGCATACTTGCGCAAGCACACGAGTGCATGCACGCACATGTGCACACCTGCGGAGGTCAGCATGTAGGTATGGGCGGATCAAATTCAGGTCATCCAGTTTGGCAGCATGCGCCTTTACCTGCTGAGCAATCCCCCACCTCACCCTCCCCATCTCCACCACCTACCCCCCCACCTTAAGAGCTTTTTTTTTGTCTTTTTGAGACAGGGTCTCCCTGTAGTCCCAGCTGGCCTGGAACTCTCTATGTAGATCAGACTAGTCTTGAACTCAAGAGATCCACCTGCCTCTGCCTCCCAAGTGCTGGGATTAAAGGCCTGGGCCAACACACCCCACCTAAGAGCATTCTTAGGACGTAAATTATACTGTTATTTCTTTTTGAGGCTGGGTCTCCCAATAGCCACTGCTGGCCTAGAACTCTCTATGCGTCACCTCATTCACAATAGCTCCATTTTCTTCTACTTTTAAACCTTGGCAAATCTGCAGATCCTGTTAAGAGAAACAGCTGGGACTGGAGAGATGGCTCAGCAGTTAAGAGCACTAGCTGCTCTTGCGGAAGATCCAGGTTTGATTCCCAGCAACCACATGGCGGCTGTAACTCCCCAGGGGATCTGACACCTTCCTCTTCCTTCTGTGGGCATTGTATGGCATGAGTGCACTTACAGTAGGCAATACGTTCATACACATAAAATAAAAATTATTTTTTTAAAAATAGGCAAGCTGGGTGTGGTGGTACATCCCTTTAATCCCAGCACTCGGGAGGCAGAGGCAGGGGGATCTTTGTGAGTCCGAGGCCAGCTTGGTCTCCCTAGTGAGTTCCAGGCCAGCTGGGGCTACAGGGAGACCCTGTCTCAAAAAAAAAAAAAGGCAAATATATATGTATGTATATAAGAGAAACAGCTATGTTGGTCAAAGCAAGTTTTAGAAATCTAAAGTACAGCAGGGGTTATGAGAAACCTGTTCATTTTTCTTCTTTTCCTTTGCTGGAGATCAAACCCAGTCTCACAAATGCTAGACAAGCATTTCACTACTGAATGAAGCACACACAAACCCTAGATCTGTTCATTTGATTGTGGCAATTATGTCAAACCATCACCTTATATACCTTGACAAGAAAAAGAAGAAAAAAAGACAAAAAGCAAATACAACCTTGATACTCTATTCCAGTAGCCATGAAATTGGCTCCATCCTCTATTCCCAAACCTCTCCTAACATACCAGCAATTTCTGGGTCACTCTTATTCAAGTACAACCCAATGAAAAGACCTAAATTAAATTGTAGGTATCACTAGGCATGGTTGTACATGCCTTCATCTAGCACTTAGGAGGCAGGTCTCTGTGACTTCGAGGTCAGTCTGGTCTACTTAGCAAATTGAGCCAGCCAAGGCTACACAGTGAGACCCTGTCTCAAAGAAAAAAAATTTTTTTTCTAAATAGAATAAAATGTAACTTTCAGGGGCCAGAGAGGTGGCCTATCAGTTAAGAGCGCTAGCTGCTCTTCCAAAGGACCACAGTTTGGTTCTAGCACCCACATCAGGTGCTATCTGTAACTCCAGCCCCTCTTATGGCTTCTGTAGGCAGCTGTACTCTCACATACACACATGGAATTAAAAGTAATTTTAAGGGGTTGGATAGACAGCTTAGTAGTTAAGAGCATTGGCTGCTCTTGCAGAGGACCTGGGTTTGATTCCCAGCAACCACATGACAACTAACAACCCTCCATAACTTCAGTTCCTGGGGACTTGACACCCTCTTCTGACCTCCATGAGCAATGAAGAACACGGATACACTTACATACATGCAGGCAATATACTCATACACATAAAATAAAAATTTTAAAACAATAATAATTTAAAATATAGCTATCAGGAATGGAAAGACATCCTTAATCTCAAATAACAAGACTAGTAGGAAGATTTTGAGTGCTCAACTCTATTTTTGTGTGTGCGTGTAGCCCAAGCTGGCCTCACACTTATTTAGCTGAGGATGACCTTGAGCTCCTGATCCTCCTGCCTCCACCACCCAAGGACTAGGATTACAGATGTGCACAACCATGCCCAATTTTATGCAATGCTGAGGATTAAACTCAGGGCTTCTAGCATGCTAGATAAAGCACTCTACTAACTGAGCTGCATTCCTAGAACAGGGGCCTCCATTCTCCTAATGTAGAATTTTAGGGATTTAAACAAAATCAATGTGAAAAATAAACATTTATTACAAAAATTAGCTTTAACATTGTAAAATGAAAGCAAACATGGTATTTCACAATTCCAAAGAGATGTTAAGTAGAAAGATAAACTTCAAGATTATTAACTGACTCATACTGCAATCAGCTGAGGGAAATATTTATCTCAAACTCACAGGGGCCACAAATCAACTCATGGCCTTTAATCCACTCCCACCTCCCTCAGCCCACCTCCATCCTCCAATCACGACAAAAAACTAAAACATACTTGAAAAAGTTTTATCTTTACTGAACCGTTCCATAAGTTTCTTTTATGTAACTGGATTTTATTTCCTCTAGAAATTGTTTTATGCTGCATGGCCCTTAAGTGATTGCTTAGTTTTTTAAAGGCATAAAGAGGTTTAAAGGGGAAGAACCATGACCACCAAACTCTGCTCCTGTCTCAAAATATCTTCTCCAGAACTCCACTCACTAAATACAGTTGCTACTTTAAGTTATTAAAGTACTTCTTCAAATGATCTGAGAAATTCCCCCTTGAAGCTTTAGAGATGTCCATTAATGCACTCCTCTGGGCAGGTGGGTGGGCAGGCCCTTTCTCCCCTCACTTGACTATACTCCCTGAACCCACCTCCCTGCCCCCAAGCACAGCACCAGCTTCATCCTGGCTATGGGAGGCTGTGGAATCAGGTTCTGAAGCCTGAAAGCTTTGCCTTGAATGACGAATCTGGAGCATCACGACAGGGTCCTGGGGACTACCCACAGAGAAAGCAGGGCCTGCAGACATTTTGCTGTTTATATAATATAAAGGAGCTCAGGGCTCAAAGATCCCATTCTCCTACTTTTCATAAAAAGAAGATTTGACAAACCAAGTTTTTATTTCCAGTAACATCTGGCTAATACAAATACACAGAAACACAATCTTATCAAAGACCTAAGAAGCCCTCCCATACAAAATCCAATTTCAGCATATAGCTAAGAACACACACACACATATATACACACACACACACACACACACACACACACACACACACACAACCCAACAAAAAGACAAAGCTAAAGCACACACATCCTCACAGCACAGATATCTTAAAGGGTCTGTCCAGTTGTTCCAGGCAAGGGAAGAATGACTGACGGCTACCATTTCAGCTTTCTATTCTTTAAATCAGTGGTTTCAGTCCTTTTCACTCCAAGTCTCCCAGGAGTCTACTAAGCTCTCCCACCACGAATGGACATAGTATTGATCTGCTTGTATTCAGGAGGATCCCAGTGGCACTTTTTGTGAGATAGGAGAGTAGGTTCCAGAGACTGAAGAGTTGATGTCTTCATCAAACGCTTCAGTCTTCATCAAACTGCTCAGCCACTTTCTCCAGTCCCCACTCCAGAGCAGGCGGCGGCACCAGTCCACTTCAGGAGAGATGAGGCTTAAAATCCTTCCTCAAAGGCCACTGCAGCCAGCAGGTACTAGTTTCAGATTCCTGAGAGCCTGACCACTCTTGCTGTTTACTCTAGGACTCCTGTGCATTCCCACGGAGGGAATTGGAATGAAAACTTTAGTCTCAGGCCACACAGCAGTGGGCGAGGGGGGGGGGTAGGAAAGAGGAAGGTGTGGAAGTTGATGTTGTTAAAATCATATCCTAGCTAAAATAAAAGTGAGGGATCCTGTGGGGTCTACGAGACAATCAAGGCATCGTGTGAGACTACAGACATGAGGGGCTGGAGTCTGTAGCACCTGAGTAAGGTAAGCCGAGGGCAGGAGATGAGCTGCAAGCAGGTCACACCAGGAATGATGAGGTCTGTTTGAATTCCCCCTGGGGAAATAAAGTATCCAGTCAACTCTAGAGTCTTGTTTTAGTAACAACTCCCCAGAACACACAAACAGGCTAGAAACTTTCACTGGTTCCAGAAGGCCGTGCTTCCTCAAGGCAGGCACACTTACCTCACTTCGAGCACTAGGCTGGCTGTAAATCACCTTCTTACTTGATGAAGTCCTGTGGGCAAACAAGAAATTGGAGGCTCTCAGTCCCTAGTTGTGAACCTATCCTTGCCAATTTTAGGGGCCAGAGGAAGAATTTGACAGAAGTACTGAATGCTCAGTAGGAAGGTGGGGGCAGGAGACAGGACAAGTTCAGGGCAAACAGGGGTAGAAATCCAGCTGCCATGCCCTCCAAGACGGTTTTTCCACTTCCAATCCCACTCCAAGCCCCAGGGCTCATCTCAGCATCAAACCACATGTATCCATGTTCTTATCCTTGGAGAACCCGGAACAGCACCTCACTCACCCTTTCTTTGTTCCTGAAAGAAATAAAAAGGATAGTTCATCGGGATAGAATCCAGCATGGCATGAAAGGGCAGGAAGTAGTATGTGGTACTTGATATCGGCTAGATTAAGTTATCCACATTCCTGGGAGGGATGGTACCACACATGGGGCACCCATACTTTGATGGCACCCACAAACTATGCCTTGGAGTGGGGACAATACAAAGGAACCCCCAGCTGGGTGTGGTAGCACATGCCTATAATCTCAGCACTCAGAAGGCTGAGGCAGGAGGATCACTGCATGTTGGAGACCAAAGTTTCAGGCCAGCATGGGCTATCATCCACAAACAAGCTTCCAACGGGAAATACTTACTTTCAAAGTATCCTCGGCTATAGGCAAACCAGATGCCAAAAATCAAGACTCCAAGGAGAATCAGTGTTACTAGGACAGCTGCCACGATGCCCCCCACATTCAGCTCCACTGTGGGACACAAATGAGAGGTCAGGTCAATATGCAATTGTGGTAATGACAATGCTATCAATAACCAGATGAAAAGCAGACTCTGATCACCACCCCAGCTATGAGCTCAGGCCGTTGCCACATTCTCACTCACCAGCTTCCATGCGTACAGTTTCAGACATCGCTGGTGTCCCATACCCATTCTGTGCCTGACACGAATAGTCACCAGTATCAAAGGCTGTTACAGGATCAAAGATCTGGAAGGAAGAAAACAATCTGTCTTCTTGTTGGAACAAGTGGAGCAGCTACCCTGCTATGTCCCTGATCCTAACTCCAAGTTACCTTTGTTTCTTCTTCCTCTCTACCTTCAGGGGTCCTATCACTGTCCCCAGACCCATCACTCACCCCTCCCCTTCCATACCAGCTCCCCGGTCTTTGGATTGACAGTGTAGGAAGAGTTGAAAAAGGTACGGGTTTTCTTGGCATCCGTAAGCATATCTATCCCATCCCTGAACCAGGAATATTCAGAAGGTGGGGAGCCATCTTGCTCCAAGCAGGTCAGCACTGCCCGGTTCCCAATGGTGAGAGAGGATGGGATATTGACCGTAGGCTTGGATGGAGGCACTAAGGAGGGAAAGAAGGAAAAAGGTTCTGAACACAAGGGCAAAGAGGGCTACATGAGTGCAAGTCAGAAACTGGGAAGACACCACCATCCAATCAGCTCCAGGTACCCGCCCTACTGCCCTTAATTTCCACCTAACCCAGGGCTTATCCCCTCCTTCTCTGTTGGGGGATGACTCTGAATACCTCTGTCCACAGGCATTCTCACCAGTCAGGAGCTCTAAAGCTTAACAGAGTCTACTATCAGGTTCAGAGAAGTAACTGATTTCAGGTTCACACAAAGTCACATGGTACATACCAAGCACAGTTAGCTGGATGCTGACCTCCCCATAGTTGTTACCACCTTCCTCAGAGACCATACAAGTATATGCCCCAGTGTCTTTCCGGGTCACAGATTGGAATGTGATGCCATTTGGTGAGAAGGTAACACGGTCTGCATAGGAAGCTACCAGGAGATGGAAACAGAGGCAGAAGAAACAGTGTAACCGGAGAGCTAAGAGGAAAAGAGGGCACCCAGGCTACATGGTTGCCTCCTTCCTCTTCACAATAAGGAATGGGAAGACCATGGAGCCTTGAGTTCCAAGGGTGTGTCCCCACCTTTAGAATCCAGGTGGGAGAGGAGGTTCAATTCCTCCAGAACTTCAGCAATCAGGAAGGAAGCAGGCAACTCACCTGTGATCTGGCTGTTATAGCAAACAAGGCTGGTGGTGTCACCTTGGACGAACTTCCATTCCACCCGGGGAGAGGTAAAGCCAGAGTAGGTGCAGGACAACGTGACAGCTGCAGACAGGATCAAAATGAGAGAAAGGAAGACAAGCAGTAAGCAGAGAAAGTAGGGAACAGCCCCAAACCACAGCCTGGGCTGTGTCCTCCAGGCCCCAACCCTAACACCCACCCTGCTCACTCACCACAGTCCCACCCCACTTACGACTATTCTCAGGAACTTTCACGTTAGGTTGAGATGTGTACACTGAACCTTTGCCTTGTACCAGGGAGCCTGAGAAAGAAAGAGAGGAACCCATCAGAAGGGAACAGAGTCTTCATGGACAGCCAGCAGATGAGGCTGTCATCCTATGGTAAAGGGAAAGTCAAGCTCCTCTCAGCTGGGCTCTCAGTCTCTGACTAGCATCCTAAACATCTTTAATTGCTTTGTTACAACAGCAAGTCAGTACTTCTATCAATAGAAATAAAACACTTCTTTCAAATACAGCTTCTTTCATTTTTAATGGTTTCCTCTATGATTCCCAATAACCTAATTAAATTCCTACTGCTCCAAAGGGAGCTTCCAGAATGACATTTCATGGTTCAGAGGAAGATTCTCAAGGAAACATTGCAGTCACTTCTGGATATGATTCTGGAAGGTGGCCAGCAAGCTGGAGGCAAGGTAGGGAGGGGAAGGGAGGAGCAGTAATGAAGATAATACTTCTGTTTGACATTTGTAGAGCATTAGCTGGGGATTTTTTGTTGTTGTTGCTATTTTCTTTTTGGTCTTTTTGAGACGGTCTCCCTGTAGCCCCAGCTATCCTGGAACTCACTATGTAGACCAGGCTGGCCTCGAACTCACAGAGATCTGCCTACCTCTGCCTCCCGAGTGCTGGGATCACAGGTGTGCGCCACCATGCCCAGCTCTCTATTAGCTGTTTTTTAAAGCATTTTGTGATACACTACATTGTTTGGTGCTGGAAGCATGACATAAGCAGGACAAATGTTGTTATCCTATTTTTACATGAGGACTTGCAGGTGGTGAGGTGGGGCAAGGAACAGATCTGGGCTCAGATCACCTCATGAGAATCTCCTGCTTGCCAAATGGAGAGAGAAAAGAAAAGAGGGTGGGTGGGGGTGGAGGAATGAGGAGCCAGGGGCTACTTAAATAACATGGGGCAGAAGTATCAGGGTTCACAGACAAAGCCCAAGTCTACCTAGGCAAACTAGTGACAGAAAATTCTGTAGGGCTACAAGCACATACTTGCCTCATTTGAAATGTGAGGATGTGAGGCATTTGAACTGGATGGCCTCCTAAGTCCTTTATGTTGCCCCCACCCACTCTGACCTCCTTGTTAAGAGTGCTTACTTTGTTTTCTGTAGTCAGGGCCTTGTGCATTCAAGGCAGGCACTCTACCACTGAGCCACATCCCAGCCCTACAGAGTTCTATATACCTCTATTTCAACCTGTCACTCCTGGCTGGGTGTGGTGGCGCACGCCTTTAATCCCAGCACTTGGGAGGCAGAGGCAAACAGATCTTTGTGTGTTCGAGGCCAGCCTGGTCTACATAGTGAGTTCCAGGACAGCTGGGGCTACAAGGAGACCCTGTCTCAAAAAAGACAAAAAAAAAAAAAAAGTCAGGCTCCTGCAGTTGGAGAGATGGTTCAGTGTTTAAGAACACTGGCTGTTCTTGCAGAAGACTTGAGTTCGAATCCCAGAACCCACATGGCAGCTAACGACTGCCGGTAACTCCAGTTCCAAGGGATCCGACATCATCTTTTGACCTCCGTGGGCATCACACGACATGAGTGCACTTACATACATGCAGGCAATACACGCATACACACAAAATAAAAATAATAATAAAGGGGCTGGAGAGATGGCTCAGCAGTTAAGAACACTGTTCTTGAAGAAGACCCAGGTTCGAATCCCAGCACCCACATGGCAGCTAACTCCATTTCCAGGGGATCCAAAAGCCTCTTCTGTCCTCCGTGGGCATTGCATGACACGGGTGCACTTACCTACATGCAGGCAATGCATGCATACACATAAAATAAAAATAATGAAATGTTTTTAAAAATAAATAAATAATTTTTTTTTTTAAAGTCAGGCTCCTACACCAGGTGTGGTGCTGTACACCTTTAACCCAGCACTCAGGAGGCAGAGGCAGGCTGATCTCTGTGAGTTCAAGGCCAGCCTGGTCTACATAGCGAGTTCCAGGACAGCTGGGGCTACAGGGAGACCCTGTCTCAAAAATACCCAAAAAAAGATGACAATCATGGGGCCAAGATGGCTCAGATGGTGAACGCACAAGGTGTCAAAAGCAGCAAGCCTGACCACCTGAACTCAATCCTCAGAACCCAAGTAAAGGTGAAGAAGAAAACTGACTCCATAAAGTTGCCCTCTGACATTCACAAATGTGCCACAATATATGCACATGAGTATGCAAACACATAAATAATAAATAAAAAGAATTTTAAATAACCATGCATGATGGTGTATGCCTTTAATTCTAGCACTTGGGAGATGGAAGCAGGGGAATCTCTATCAGTTCAGGACCACCTGTGTCTACATAATGAATTCCAGACCAACACTGAGACCCTGTCTCAAAAAATTAAATAAGTAATTTTTTAAATGGTGATAATCAGCTGCACATAACGGTGCACACATGTAATCTATAATCCCAGCATTTGGGAGGCAAAGGCAAAATGGATGCATGTTGAAGTCCAGCCTACTTTACATAGGAAGTTCAGGACAGCCAGGACAACATAGTAAGACCAAGTGTCAAAAAAATAAAATTAAATATTTAAAAGCTGATAACCAATAAGAAGCCAGGTATGGCAGCACACAATTACTGCCGAGGCAGTGGGATCACAGCAAGTTCCAGGTAGCCTGAGCCACACTGTATCTCAAAAAACAGAAACAAAGAAAGAATGCTAATGATGAAATGCTATGATTTTTGCTCAAGTCATCTTTCATCTCTGCTTTGATGATGAGAATCTTGTATTTTAAAACTCCTAAGTTTGCAAGTTGCTTCCTGTGACATACCTGAACTAAATGTCTCTTTAGGAATGAAGGACTTTCTGCTGGGGGAGCTGCCAAAAGGCTATAGCCACTGGCCTCCTTAAGGAGACCCAGAACACGTCTTGCCCCAGCACTTGCTTTCTACCAGGGTAGGGTCAGTCAGAAACTATTGTGTAACAATGACAGGAGCTGAGTAGTGTAAAGCCCCAACTGTATTTCCTAAATATCCAGATTTGGGACATCTCTAAAGGGTCATTCCTACTCCAAAGTTTCCTGTGTAACAGGCTGAGATGTCCATGCAAATCAGCCTCCCCCTCTGCCCAACCTTGTATTGCCCTCCATTCCATAGATGTGGATCCCAAGAGCACTCTCTAATAAAATGTCTCATAAGATAATTGATATCTCAGAGTCAGCTTCCCAAGAACCCAACCTGTGACACCATCCAAATTATGAGTAACATCTAATCAAACTAAAAACTAGCCTCTGAAATACACATGTGCGCACACACAAATCATGATGTAGGAATTTTACGGTTATTCCTCAGTCAGTTCTGATGTTGACCACAATGGACAACTTTTCAGGAGCCAGTTCTCTCCTCCAACCTTGTTGAAGCAGTCTCTCTTATTTCTGCTACTATGCTCTGTATTCTAGGCTAGCTAGCCTACAAGCTTCCTACATCCAGCTTGTAATGTGGGTTCTGAGGATTGAACCCAGGGCATCAAGCTTACTTGGCAAGTGCTTTTACCTGTTGATCCATCTTCCTTGGCTCCTAAAGATGTTTTTTGAGTCCTTTGAAATCATCAGATCTAAAATATCAGGGATTACACCACATATACATACACAAAGGTACTGGGCTATAGGCACATTCCTTCTCCTTGATAACCTTAACTGAAATGACCTACTCTGAGTTTTCTTTAAAAATATAGGAACTGGGGTTGGAGAGATGGCTTAGCAGTTAAGAGCACTCACTGGTCTCTTTTGCAGAGGACTCGGGTTCAATTCCCAGCACCCACATAGCAGCTAACAATCATCTGTAACTCCAGTTCCAGGGGATCCAACACCCTCTCTGACCTCCATGGGCATTGCACAACACAGGTATACCTAACTACATGCAGGCAGTACATTCATACAC